AAACGGCCTCCCGGGGGGCTCGGTGTCCTCCCGTTAGGGACAGAGCCCAAAGCTGCTCTCACACATTTGGGGGGGCCGTTTTCACCCCCCTTTTCTCTCTGTCCCACTCGAGCCCTTCTGAGGACAAAGTTCCAAAACGCCACCAGGAAAAAAGCAGGAACAGGAAATCGGGACAAAGCAATAAAAATTCTGAATCTTTTATACCCTGGAAATCTTTTGGAGTGAGAAAACCCAAACTTTTGGTCTGGTTTTACTCTAAATCTCATTGTAAGAGTCACACCGATGGGAAGAAAAAAAAAAACACATAAAAATACCTTTATTAGAGGAGTTCTAGCCAAAAGACTTTGCTGATTTCTTTCACTTTTATTTTTTTTAAGCTGATTGCTTAGAATGAATCTGAAAGAGTTCGTGTTGTTATCCAGCCTGTTCAGAATTTTTACTGGAGTTTCTCTGGTTTCTCAGACTCTGCTCTGCAGCTGCTGCCTTTGCTAAAACCAACCACTCTGGGACAGTTCATGTTTCTTCTGAAGAAACCCCCTCACCAACCTCCTGTCTTCCTCCTGCTGTAACCCCCCCAGATCCATCCATCAGATCCGTTGCTCCTGTCCCTCATCCTCCTGGTTTTGGGGAGCCAGGAGCATGGACAATGTGTCCAGCTATCTGTGATTTTTCTTCACCCCTGGTTTTCCGGGGGGGGCTCAGCTCCTCTGTGCCCACACCCAGTCCAAGAGCTGTTCTAACCACCTCCCAAAACCTTCCTGAGGGTGTATCGAAGTGCTCAGAGTTGGCAACTGCTTTGGGAAATACCATTTGTAGGCAAATTTGTTAATTTTCCAGAGAATGAAGCTGAGAAATTGCTGGGATTCACCTTAATAGATTTTTAAGAGGAAACATTATCTGCTTGGCTGCCGGTAATATTTCAAGATCTAGCTGGGGCTGAAGGCAGGATCTGAGCTTCCTTCAGCCTCCCGTGCTCAGGATGAGAGCCTGGAGGCAGAGTGGGGGCTGTGCTGACCTCCCAGCCCAACAGAGCTGCTGGGGGTGCCTCTCCTCTTCTCACCACTGACCATCTCACCCCACCAGGGAGCCTGGAGGGGCAACAAAATGAGCAATCAAAAGGGAGGAGTGATTCTTGAGGGGCTGAGACCTAACGACAGGAGAGCAGGATGAGAGGACATCTCCCTGCAGTGTTTTAAAGACACAATCTCAGCTCTGATGCCAGCTGTGTTTTCACAACTCTAAGAATTGAGATACTGTCCTAAAATCCTGAGCATCCAAGAAGCACCTGAGGACCCTTCAAGGAAGTGGGAACCAGCACAGGCACTACAGCCTCTGCCTGTCTTGGCTCCATCTTCTACTTCCCTGCAGCCATGGGGCTATGGGGATGGCTACTAACCCTCCTCTGGAGCCTGGGTCTAAAGAATAGAGATGAGGAAAGAAAGATCTTTGGCTACTAATGCTGTCCTGGGCAACCAGAGGTTCATCCTGGGGCTGGTAGAGGACCTGGAGCCAGTGTGGAAGAGGACATTGTGCTGCCACGAGGAACCAGTTAGAAACTATCTGAGCAGTGTTTGCTCTGTTGGAGGCATCTCCAAAGCAAAGGCTGGACCAGAGTTGGGAGTTTTCCCCCACTGTTGTGCTTGATCTCTTTTCCCCAGGGTAAAGTGGCCATCAGCTCCTCCAGCCCCATTGCCACAGCTTCGTTGCCAGCCCTGTCCCAGGCCAGACACACACCCCTCAGCCAGGGGGAGATCTTCAAGCTGCCAGGCAGGCTGAGTGAGTAGATGTTGAGCAAGTCAATGGTGCTTAAAAAAGGAGCTCTCACAGAGTGGGACGTGGTGAGTAGAGCCATGGTGTCCCCTCCAGGGACCATTCCCTGCTGTCGAGGGGGACAGGCTGGACCAGTCATCAGGGTCCACTTTCTCTTTGGGGTGTTTCTGACCTGTGAGTGCCTAATACAGAGGGAGGGTTTGGTGGTGGGGAGGAGCAGTATCCCCCCCTGCCCCTCAGCAGCCTGCAGGGCTGAGCTGTTTCCGAGCCTGCCCCTGGTTTCAGGAATCCAGCCCTCCCTGTGGAGCAAGGAGGACGTGATCCACTGGCTGAGGTGGGCTGAGGAGCAGTGTTCCCTCCAGCAGACCCACGAGAGCAGGTTCCAGCTGAACGGCAGAGCCCTCTGCATCCTCACCAAGGATGACTTCAGACACCGAGCGCCGAGCTCAGGTCAGCCCCAGTGCAGGGCTCTCTGGGGACCACCCGAGCAGAGCACGAGCTGTGACCTGCTGAGAGGGGCTGGCTGGGTCCCAGCAGAGCAGGCTTTAGCTCTAGCAGTTGGGTGCTGGAGAAAAGGACAACCTTCTTCCTTCCTTTTATCCCCCTGGACTGTAGATGCTTTGGGATGGGGAATAAACTTCTCACTCTGTAGCCCAGAAATCCAAGCAACAACATCAGCTGAGAGGACCTCTAAGACAAAGCCACCTGAGCTGACCTTCTTCCCCTGCAGGTGATGTGTTGTATGAAATACTCCAGTATATTAAGACTCAAAGAAGAGCTCTGGTGTGCAGCCCGTTGCTGAACTCACCCTTCAGGGAAGCCAGGAGCACAAAGAAAGGTAGGACAGAGAATGGCAGCTGTCCATCAAGCTGCCCTCAGCTACAGGGGTTTTCACACATCTGGGGTTTGAAGCTCAGCCAGCAGAACCCATCCCAGTTGCACACTACCTGAGCAAGGCAAGCAGGACAGACCTGGAGGTGTCAGCCAGGTCCAACAAAGTCCATGTCATCAAGGAACTTTATAGTCCTGAAGAAGGTCTGGTCAGAATGAGGCCTAGACAGCACCAGGGGGATCCATGGTGGCCAGGGAAGGCTGGGGCTGCACTAGGAAGTCTATCTGCAGATGGAGATCAGGATCAAGGAGGGTCAATAGCCAGACAGATGGACAGCCCTGGCTGAAGACTAGTCCTCCACAGGCTGAGAACCAACCTCTGGTGTCCCTCCCCTTCTGTTTCAGGGTATTAGAAGATCTCCTGGGACCTGCCACAAAGACACCCCAAGGTTGAGTTGTTGGGGTTTTCTTTATTTTCACAGGCACAGACTGCAGTGCTGAGGCTGCCCCAGTTGCCCCAGTTGCCCCAGTTTTCTCCTGCCAGGGTTGTGTGAAACAACCTGTGTCCCACATTGAACCTCTCCCACCAGAGCCTGGAGGGCAGCTGCAGGGCAGGTGCCATCTGCTCTTTTCCTGGCACCCTGTCAGCCCCAGTGGATGGGAAAATTGCAGGTGAATGTGAATTTATAGCCTGGCTCCTGGGGAAAGGAGATCGTGCTTTGTCCTGTCTGCTCATCTCTCTCCCTTCCACTTCCTCCATGGATCAGCGTGTGCTTTGCTGCCTCAGTTTCCCCACCTGAAGAGCTGTAGTTCTGCTTGTCTTTTGAGGCCTAGCAATAAAAGTGCTGGGCAGGAGCTCTGGGCTCCTCTCCCTCCTGCTGCCATTGCTCAGGGGTGCAGTTGGGTCGGGGATGACCCTCGCTGGTGCCTCGGTGGCAGCTCTGTGATGATTTGTTCTCCCCCGTGGCTCAGACTGCAGGCTGCTGTGGGACTACGTGTACCAGCTCCTCTCTGACACCCGTTATGAGCCCTACATCAGGTGGGAAGACAAGGAGGCCAAGGTCTTCCGCGTCGTCAACCCCAACGGGCTCGCCCAGCTCTGGG